TTCAGGTCTTTTGTTCATAGGGTTGCTATGAATTGTCTACTACTCAAAGGCACCTAACAACAACAATAGTCAATATCTGTATGACTTGAATCAGCTAGGTCCTTTTGGGTGTTTTCTTATCAACATTTACTATTGGAGTGCATAGCTGAGTCTACATATCCTTGCAACTAGAAGAATATATTATCTACCTATACTTTGGGACCATTTTAAAGAATACACCAAATTAAAAAAAAGTTCATTCATTAGCAAAAACAGATCAAGGATCGTAAATTTCTAAGTAAACACTCACTAGAAACTAAAATTGATAAAAATGTCACAAGCTCATTTACTTTCCTCCTAATTCTTAACAACTTTGTCCTTATTTTTCACAATTGCATTTTTTTTTTTGTTCTGGTGCTCATAATAGTATTATCAAGAAATGAAATGTAAAACAAAAAAAATTTCTTTTTGTTGGTATTTCTGCTATTTATTTTTACTAGGCAAAATCCCATCTTTTCTGTGCATTTTACCCAATGTGAACTCCATCATAGAAAGCAACTGGATATTTTTTTCCTTCTATCATATGGCTTCCTTCTTCCATTGTACTTGCTTTCCTATGGAATTTCCTAAGGACACTTGCCTGAAGGTTCTATTTTATTATAATTATTTCACTTTGCTTTGTGGAAGTAGGAGATCTGTTTTTTACCTCAGGCAGTTTGACACTCAGTCAAAAGCTGACAGAAGGCCATTGACAAAGAGATTTTGGTAAGAATCAGAGAACAGAGCCACTGATATTTTTTTCTTCTGTGTTCAAAGAATCCTTTTTAAAAACACATTCTTATTTGGTTTTTAAAAAAAAAATAAGAAAGGCTTATGTCATATCCATACCCTAAGAGGGAAGGTGGTGACCATGAAACAATTAGAATTGGAGAACAGGAAAATTCTTCACTCTTTTGTACTTAACAGTCCAAACTAGTCAGTAAAGAAACATCGAGCGCCATCATGGCTGATACGTGTTTAAGGAATCATAAACATCATAAACAAGACTGAAAATTCAAAATGCAGTCCACCAGATACTGTCATCTCTCCTTTTTTGCTTGAGATAGAAAATTTGCTGAAAATTTAAAAACAATGCTTTACAGTCACAAAATGCACCCACTTAAACTATGATATGGTCTTGGAAAAATGAAAGTGCAGATACCATTGAATCTTCCCTTGTCCTTCCAGAAAGGTCCTAAAGGTACTGTTGTGTAAAAAATACTCTGCATGCTTTGCATCCCTGCCCTGTGTGTTCACAACCAGGAACTGTAATGACATCAAGCTCATCAGATAAGATTTCAGGTGAAATCTAGAAATTACTCAACTCCCCAAGACACAATTCTCCTTCATGGTTATCCTGGGTTCTACCAGTCTGCAATACTTTCTTTCCTATTTTACAAGTTCTTTGCAAATTCCTCTCACTGTATTTAAAAGCCTTCATCCTTGTTGGCTTCTTATCCAAATGTTATTTGCTTTTCAAAGTCTACCTTAAGTTCCACCTCTTCCAGGAAGCCTTTCCCCACTTTAGACCATAGCAAGTAGTCTCACACTTACCAGAACTCTTAGCACCTAATGTCAGTGCCACTTGCTTGGCACTTATTATGCAATACCTTATGACACAAGTTCATGATTTATGAGGCTGCAGCAACCCCCCAAAGATTATCTCTTTCATTTTTACTTACAGCATGCATTGCCTTTAATTAGATATTAAGTATATTAAACAAGTGTCATCAGTTATCGTGAGGAAAAACAAAGGTGAGAAAGGTTTTTTCATTTTAATTTTATTTTATGTAAACATTTTAAAAATGAAGGTTGATTTGAGGTTTGAAGTAAAAGTTTAAAGAGTAAAACTGGAAACCCACCTCAGAAAGGAAATGTTCCATCACTTGTAGTAGAAGCCAAATTAATAGCAAAGATCCTTTTTCTTTCATTGTCAAATCTCAACTTCTGTCTTTTGCTAGAGGACAGAACTCAGTAATTATCCTTTCTTCTGCCTATATGACCTCTTTTCTCTCTTTCCTAGATCATTCTCACTATTGTTAAGGGAGTCATAGTATTTCCACTCTTTAAAAAAAAATTCTTCTTTGGCCTCATGGTCTTCCCATTCATTATTTTCTGTTATCTTTAAATAATAAAATACTTCAAATGAATTTGTTCTTGCTCTTCCACTTACTCTTGTACCCACTGTAGTTATGTGTCCCCCTTTTCTAACCTTCATGATAACAGTTCGGGTCAAAGTCATCAATGAGCTCCATAAACCAGAAGATCAACTCTCAGTAGACTCATCAATCGGATGACACGTTCGTTTTGATCCTCTGAGAAGCAGATGTCGAGACACAGACCATACACTTGAGCCTTTATTATGATAATTGCGCCTATTCTTATAATGTCACTACCTCTGGCAAAGCATTTATGATTTAAGCTACTATTGGTTCAACTCAGGATACTCTACAATCATTCATCCTCCAGGACTCAGTCTGCAGTTTCCTCAGGAGCTAGACTAGAGAATTAAATGGAGCTTTGATAGAAATCTGTTCTATCCTTACTGGTAGTTACTGTGCCTGAGTGCACTCTGGAAAACTGGAGGATTGAGTACCCAGGGACACCTTGGAAGAAAGATGTGGCAGTCTATTTCCAAATAAATCAGCCACTGAAAACCCTGTCGAGCTAGTTCTACTTTCATCCACACAGGGTTGCCATGAGTCAAAAGCGGCAGCGATTCATTTACTGGAATAACCTGTTGATTTTCTTACTTGTGCCTCCCTCTTCCACCTCACAAAAATCTGTCCTCCAGATAGCATTCAGAATGATCCTTAGAAAACCTAAGTCAAATCATGTTTGGCCTGTGCTCACAGCTATCCAATCTCTTCCCGTCTCAATGGCAAAGTCAGAGTCTTACAGTGGCTTCCATGAGCTGGCCTCTACTACTATTTTCTCTCCTTTCCTGCACTCAGAACCTTGGCCTTCAGGCTGTGCCTTCATACCTCAGGGAGGGATTTGTTGTTGTGTGCTGTCAGTGGCCCTATGTGCAACAGCTTTGAATCCTGCTTTATCCTGAGCCAAGTTCATCATCTAGAACTTGTTCATTCCTTTGCTCCATATCTATACCACTCACTATTTTTTCCTGTTAAATTTTTCTGAAATACCAATTTCACATGCTTTTTTAAGCCATTGCCAATTTTCCCCTCTTGATCTTGAACTCTGTTTCCAAAATTAATGTGTGGTTTTGAGTATTACCAACCAACTGCACTTGAATGGTTATTTTTTTACTTATAACTAATTTTGCATGTGTGGCTTTGATCTCTATTTCATTTTGCATTAAATAGGTCTCCTTGCATTACTTGTATGAATTCTTTTAAAAGCCAGTATGCATTTATTTCTGAACTGGAACCTGAAAATTTTATAAACCGTTCTGCTCAGATATTCTATAAATTCACTTTCACCCTAATTGTACAATAATGAAATCTTGTATATCCATAATAAAACTACATGGCACTAATAGAGCAAGGAATCTGACTGTTTTAACAGAAAAACATTTGTTAAGAGCATGTATGGTGGCAAGAAGTTGCAATGCAATCCTGAAGGCACACAGTTCAAATCCACCATATGCTCCGCTGGAGAAGGACTGGCAATCTTCTCTTGTGCCAGTTGGATCCGACTCAAAACAACAAAGAAATAAAAAGATCTGCCTTTAAAAAAAAAGCATATGGTGTAGTTCACAGACTCCCTAGGAGACCTTAAGAAGCCAACCTGGGGTGGGCGTAATGGCTAGAAGCAGACAGTAGAACTGGCCTCTTCTGGCTATCTCAGATGCCACAGGTACAAGGCTCAAACTCCCAAAGCTGACTCCATTGTTGCTAGTGATGGACACCAACTTCAACATCACTGCCTCCAGAGGGCCAGGAGTCAGACCAATGCAGTCTCCACCATCACCAAGGAAGATGCATGGTATCCCTGTTTGCATCCATGACTCTCAACTGCAAGTCTGAGGTGTGTGTCTGTGTGTCTGAATATTGGAGGTCACATGCCTACTTCCTGTAAGAGATCCTGGGGCAGCAAATGGAAGGAGGCCTCCCACCTAGACTTTAAAGCTGCAAGGAAAAGGTATTGGTCAGAGTGCTTCTCTAAAGAATTTTTAAAATATTTCTTATTTAAGTGTCTATTGTTTTGTGTGGTTACTGAAAGTCACATAATTTAGCATTGCAATTCAAATTTAATTTGAAAGATATGTTAATGCTTGATACAATTTAAATTCTTTTACCTATAAAACAGATATGAGATAAATAATCTTGCCCATTAGTTAATTTCCATAATAGCATACAACTCACAAACATTTGCATACAACCAAAAATTACAACAGATTGAACTTCAGGACTGAAAGTCCTGTTTTTTCAGTATGGTTCATCATAGTCCTTTCCCCCCCCCCCCAGTATGACTGCAGCTGCCCTTCTAAGTCTCCAAAGTACAAAAGATTTTCAAAGTAGTGATTAAATAAAGATGGTATTTTCTAGAACAAAAGCTGTCCAAGAAGTTTATTTTTAATAGGTTCTGGATCCTTCTATAGGTATGGATTTTTTTTTTCTTTCATTACCTTTGTGATAATCTGTAGTTCAGTTGACCCCCTAAGAATGCTTCTCACCCTCCTCCTTCAGAGCCTTGAATATACTTAATTCTGTCTCTAACCATGTGACCAAGATGTTTGTGTGATTACCCAGACTGAAGGATGGGGATGGGACCTTAAGCCTGAGCAAGGACAGTATTTCCCTTTCAGAATTGTGGATCACTTCAGACTTTCCCAACCTATTGTGGCTGACCTCAGTTTTTGACTGACAGGCAGTTTATTTAATGATTGTCATAAGAGAAACCAAATGACTCTTCAAGATTAAGATTCTCAAACTTTTTAGTGTTAGTTTGGCATCAAACACAGCGCTGATCATTCTCTTAGAGTTTTTCCTCAGTAACTAGTTAATGGGAGTGTTCTGTCAACCTTGTATTTCCCAAACAGAGCCATTAATCAGACCCATCTCCAAATCCACTGTGAGAGAGACAGGCATAGTTGAGGCCTTCAGCCTTGCCAGCAGGGCAGTAAGCCACTTGTTTTTCTTGGCAGTTATCTTTGTCTGCTTGTGGTTCCTTCTCTTCTTTCCTCAGACCACAGGATTCAGATTCCTTGGAGCCTAGAGGACCCTCTGCATTTTGTTCACCTTGGCTACATTCCGTGGCTAATACCATATAATTTAAACCTTCTTGGTTCTTGGTTTCCATTAGAGCAACTGGTGTAATGTCATTTGAACTCGAACAAATCATATTGTCATCTTCAGCTGTAAAAAAAAAAAAATTATTCTAGCATCTATTTTATTTCCTATATTTGTGATGTACAGGCTACATGGCAACATAACAACATCAACCTTACAGTTATGTTCAATAAAACTCTATGAGAATTACTAAGTGCTGGGATAGACACAAGACATGCTTCCTATCCTTGGTACCAGAGACGTATAATAATGAGAAGATACATAAGCAGATATATTGCAGTAGAACATTCTGTATGCTACAGTGAAGGAGTATATACATGTATGGGAGCACAGCAGTGACTAACTCTGTCTTAGGAGGTGGAACAGGCAGTGCTCTATGATAGGAGTTAAATGGCCCCAAGATAGCCCTTTTTGTCTAAAATTCTTATCCTTTCATTCTGCTGTACAACCTGAAACATCTACCTGTAAATATTTATTTCTTTAGATTTAAAATACTCTTGGTACCAGTAGCCAAGAAATTAAAAGACAAATCGCATTGGGAAAGTCTGCTGTCAGAGACCTCTCCCAAGTAGTGAAGAGCAAAGATGTCAGTCTGGAAACTAAGGTGTGCCTGATACAGGCCATTGTCTTTGTGATTATTTGCTATGCATCAGAAAGCTGGAAAGTAACTAGGAATGATAGAAGGAGAATTGATGCCTTTTGAGTTGTGCTGCTGGAGAAGAGTATTGAATATATCATGGACTGTGAAGAGAACAAACAGGTTCGTCCTGGAGAGGGTAAAGCCAGGTTGCTCCTTGGAGGCAAAGATTATGAAGCTTTGTCTGACATACTTTGGACACATGTTGCAAGGTAAGATCAGTCCTTGCTGAGGGACGTCATGCTTGGGAGGGTGGAGCGACAGCACAAGAGAGGAAGACCCTTGATGAGATAGATTGATTCAGTGACTAAGGTAATGCGGGTAGGTGTATCAGAGACAGTAAGATTGGCACAGGATAGAGCAGGGTTTTGGACTGTTGTACATAGGGTAGCAATGAGTCACAGGTGACTCGACAGCACATAACAACAACAACAACAATTACTTGTTAAGGTAATGTTTGTTAAATACCTTACCATATGTCAAGCCCCTTCTGGGTATTAATCATGCAACAATAAAAAAGCAAAGCTATTGCTTTTGTACTCTGATAGGGATAGAGTATAAATAGCATAAGACCTAGATGTGTTTCATGTTGGAGGGAAGCCTGCTGGGCTACCTGCCTTCCCACTTATCCTTGATGCACACCCAGTTTTGGTTTATCGGGAATCAGTTGAAGCCCAGAAGGAGGTAAATAGTAGGTTTGCTGCTAACTGAACAAACAAAGGTTCAAATCCACTGAGAAGCATCTTGGAAGAAAGGGTTGGTAATCTACTTCCAAAATATCAGTAAGAATCTTCCTATGAAGCACAGTTCTATTGTAACTCATGAGATCATCAAAAGTCAGAATCAACACAATGGCAGCTTTTACAAACAGGAATATGAAAGAATGAAAATAATTCCAAAAGCAAAATCACACCTTTTCTGTAATGTAATTTAAGAAGTCTACCCATTTATCAACCCTGAACTTATCTTAATCGTAAAAACCAAAACCAAACCAATGGGTGTCTATAGTGATGCATGATAACAGAGTAGAACTGTGTTCCATAATGTTTGTAATCACTGATATATCAGAACTAGATCACCAGAGCTTTCCTCTGAGGTGCCTGTGGGTAGACTTGAACCAGTTGCAAATTATTGGTCTACAGTGGGCACGTTAAGCATTTGCACCATCTAGGAACTCTGTTTTATTATAAGAGTGAAAGAACTACTGACCCTTCCCTGCTCTGTGTTGTGTGCATATTTCTCTTCTAGGCCCTCCCACTGAAGAAGAAGAGAGCAAAGCCTGGAGCTCACAGGCTTCATTTCCATCCTACTGTTCAAACCACAGAGAAGTCACATTATGTTACAAAATATATCTCTCACAGAAATAACTTCATCCTTTGCCAAATTTAGCTAGTGTTAGCTACCTGCTGAACAGGACGGCTGTTAAGATTTTTAGCAAAGTATAGTAGTCATTAATGACAAGCTTGTAAGAATGATTTGCTATATATAATAACAATAAAAATATTTTCTTAATTAGGAGTAAATATTTCATTTTAAATATTCCAGTAGCTTAGATTATTGAGGAAACCAGGAGGTTTTTAAAAGGCATTTTAAAAATGGGCTAAATGAAAGTAAGAATCTTAGTAAAAATTTAAATCTGTAATATACACATTTATCATTTGCTTCCTTACAATATCTTTACTCCATTAAAGACCATGTTGCAAAACTTCTTATGGAATCATGAGATTTTTAAATTCTTTTCTGCTGCTGTTGAGCTGTGTGAAAATTAAAGTGTTCTATGAGGCAAATTGATTTTGAAAATTCTGGAGTTGTCTGTCAAAGAAAAACCATTAGCTAACTATTTCATTGGTTCACAGTACTTAGAGCAATATTTAGTAATTTGAACCTGCTAGCTTTCAGCAATTAGTACATCTTCTTGTTGCATAAAGAGCTTAGAGAGACAGTGGTAATAGTGGATGTGTTGGAGGAGGTGTGGTGTTTATGGGTGTTATTTGTTTATTTTTGCTTAAAACTACTTAATAGTAAGCCTTCAGGCCAGCCCTTAAGGCAGATCTCTGAAACAATGACAGCATGCACTCAATGGCCTCTGTTTAAGAGGGAAATATTAAAATAAAGACTTCCAAGTAAGACTGGGTATTTAGAAACCAGACCTATGCCGGCTGACTGGCTATGTTTAGAACAGCAGAGGAGCATTTAGATTTGTTTCCTGTCGAACTCCCTGGGACTGATGAGGTGATGTTTACACAAATGTGTGGATGAAGTCACTGGGATATTTTTATCAGATGCCCAGATATGTTACTAATCTTTCTCTATCCTCTCTCCATTCCATTAGGTCAGTAGGACCATAAGGATCGTTATGGTATTATTTCTCCCATAATAGGAATGTCCTTTATCTATTTATATTTTTAAAGTTCTTCTTATCATTTTCTCATCCTTATATACTTATGTATAACTAACACAATAACAATGAAGATCAATATCTTACTGCTTTGCTAAAGAGGCTCAAAAATCTGAAAAGCTTCAATGAAGCTATGACTAAACACATTCTGTGATAGAAAAGGCTGCTCTTTGGAGAAAGACACCATGGTTGGAATGGTGGGAGGACAGTGAAGGAGAGTTACCCCTCAGTCAGGTGGATTGACACAGTGACTACAGCGATGGGCTCAAGTGCATCAGAGGTGATGAGGTTGGCACAGGACAGGACAGGAGTCAGATCTATTGTGCATAGGGTTGCTGTGAGTGATACTGAATTTGATGACATCTAACAGCAATAACAACATTTTTTTAGATGTTGTTGTTGTTGTTATGTGCCGTTGAGTCACTTGCGACTCATAGCAACCCTGTGTACAACAGCCCTAAAGGGTGCTCTATCCTGTGCCAATCGCATTGCCTCTGACACACCCATCCCGATTATCCCAGTCACTGAATCAATCCACCTCATAGTCTTCCCCTCCTGCACTGTCCCTCTACTCTACCCAGCATGATGTCCCTCTCCAAAGACCTGTCTCTCCTTAAAACATGTCCAAAGTATGTCAGACTAAGCCCCAGAATCTTTGCCTTCAAGGAGTATCCTGGTTTAACCCTCTCTAGGATGAATCTGTTTGTTTATTTGGCAGTCCATGGTACATTCAATATTCTTCTCCAGATGTAGGATATTTTTAATTTTTTTAGCTTTTCTTTTTTCTTTTTATTAT